GCGGCCCCGCCAGCAAGGCAGCGGCACCCGCGCCGGTGCACTTCTACTGCCGGATCTGCCTGGTGACCTTCAGCTCGCAGGAGAGCTTCGAGAGCCACTGCTCCTCCGTTGAGCACGTGCAGATGCTTTCGGCAGACACCTCCGTCCACTGGGTCCACCGCACCCCGCCGCTCGGGCTGACCAAATTCTCGCTCTGCAGCAGGTAAGGCATCCGCCCGGTGCAGTGGGGAAGAGGGCAGGGGCAGCGGGCAGCTGCCGGCTCCCCGCGGGACCCCCGTCTTACCTCGCATGCCTCTCCCCGACAGAGCGGAGGTGTGCGAAATGGGGACCAGCTGCACCAAGGCTCATTCCGCCGAGGAGCTGCAGGAGTGGATCCAGAGGGTGAAGGTTGCCGTGAGGAAAAAGAAGCAAGCCCTGAAGGAAGGGCTCTTGTCCTACCAGGACCAGCTCGTCGCCGAGTATCAGACGTGTTCCAACGAGGTGTTGATTGTGAGTGGAGGGTGCTGGGAGCGTTTGTCCTCCGGGGGCTGGTGCATCGTGAAAAGCCACTTGTGTAAGAGCTTGGGAACAGACACCTCTCACCCCTCAGGGATGCCGAAAGGGCTGTGGCATCCCTGTTCCCTCCTCCCTTCTGAGCTGGCAAGCCAAGAGCCTGCTCAGGGTACCTGACCACACTGCTCTGCCGTGGGTCGTTTCCCAAGGCTGGGACTCTGAGCAGCGGTGGGTGAGGACGGAGCGTGAGGATTTACTGACCGTTCCCTCTCGGGAGGACGTAGCGTAAGGGCAAAGGATGGAGATGGCTCTGTGGCAGTTGTTGCCCTCACCCCCGTCCTCTCGCGCCTCCCCCACAGATGGCCGAGCACGTCGAGGGTGTCAGAGTTGTGTGTGAGCAGCCCCTGCACGTGCAGTCGGAGGACAGGAGGATGAAATACCGGTGGAAGTTCAGGATCCACTCCCAGGTAAGCCCAGCTCTGCGCCGTAGGAGCCAGCGAGCTGCTGGCAGTGCCTGCTGCTGCGCACAGTCCTTGTCCTTCGGGGGCCTTGTTGGGTTTGTAGTTATTATTTCTCCAAGGGGCAGAAGGACAGGGATTTTGGGATGTCCAAATGAGGATGGGACGGGTATTTGGAAGCAGCTCAGGCGGTGCCTGGGCTAGGCCCATGCGTGGAGGGTGCAGTCACCGTGTCTCCTGTCTCGTCTCGGCTGGGGAGGACGTGGCTGCTCTCAGCACCTCCCACATGTTGGCGCAAAAAACAAGATCCTGCCACTCTCCTGCCCAGGATTTTCTGGGTGTTGGGGGCGGGCGCCTGGGTCTAAATCTCCTCTCCAACGCAGATTTCCTGTTTACAGCAGACTGTCTCAATTGCTGTGAAACTGAAACCTGAGGCTCTTTAAGACCTTAATTGCTGTGGGGTTGCACAAGGAATTAGCTCCTTTTAGGAGAATTTAGAGAGTGTCATAGAATGATGGAATCATGGAATGGTTTGGTTGGGAAAGGACCTTAAAGCCCACCCAATGCCCCCCCCTGCCATGGGCAGGGACACCTTCCACTAGACCAGGTTGCTCCAAGCCTCATCCAGCCTGGCCTTGTCACAGGTGTGGTGTGGTGTTGGGTTCCTACAGCAGCTTATGGTAGGAACTGCTGCCGGGAGGCCTTCATCACCCACTGGGCTTTTCCATTGGGATGCCCTCACCGTGTTCCTGTCTTCTCCTCACCTGGCAGATGCCTCTGCAGCACGTGGCACTACTGAAGCGGGAACCTGGAGTCAGCTTCTACTTCTCAGGGAATGGGCTTTCCCGGGGCCTCCACTACCTTCGGGGGGAGCACGTGGCCACCCTGCCCTCCTCCCCGCCCGCCGCGCTGGTGGAGGTGTGCATGGAGTGCTGCGCGCTGGGCGTCTTCGAGCAGTGGGTGGTGTTCGACTTCGGCAGACGCCCCGTCCTCATACAGAAGATCAAGGTGAAGGTGGGCCGGCGGGAGACCCCCCAGCACATTCCCGGCAGCAGGGAGACCAGCCGCCCGGTCAACTTTGTGCGATGGGATAGGGGTAACCGGATCATCGTTCCCAGCGTGCCAAGGACCAGTGAAGATGTGGATCTGCTGGCCAAGTACAAACCTCCTGCGCTCACGCTGGACTACCAGCGCGAGGGGGGTGCGACCGTTCCCATCACCCGTCTCAACTATCGTGAGAGAATACACAGCTTCCTCTTCCGCGAGGAAGAAGCCGAACAAGCTCTGATTGCCAAGTACGTGCCAGGCGGGGACCCGGGGTGGGGGTTCCTCCTCACTGTGGACCGTGGGTCCCTTGTTAACCCTGCCCTGGGGGCCATGCTGCTATTGAAGTCTCTGTCTCTTCTGGGTTGGGTCCTGGGGCTCCTTTCCAAGAAAAATATAGGAGGGGAAGGACTGGGTCTTGTCCTGCAGCCGAGGGTTAGCTGGAAGCATGGCTTCTGGCTCTGTGTGCTCTGGGGGCTGGTGTGTACCTCTCTGGGTGTAGGAGGCAGTCCCCGCTCTGCAGTAGGAGGGCTGTTGCTGATCATAGAATCATGGAATGGTTTAGGGTTGGAAGGGACCTCAAAGCTCACCAAGTCCCACCCCCTGCCATGGGCAGGGACACCTTCCATAGCCCAGGTTGCTCCAAGCCTCATCCAGCCTGGCCTTGGACACTCCCAGGGATGGGGCATCCACAGCTTCTCTGGGAACCTGTCCCAGTGGTCCCCACCCTCTGCAGGAAGAGAGAGGTTCACTGGAAGATTTGAACTCTTTCAGTTTAAACCTGTTACCCCTTGTCCTGTCACTCCCTGCCCTTGGGAAAAGCCCCCCCAGCTTTCTTGTAGCCCCCTCAGGCACTGGAAGGGGCTCTAAGGTCTCCCCGGAGCTTCCCTTCTCCAGGCTGAACCCCCCAACTCCCCCAGCCTGTCCCCAGGGCAGAGGGGCTCCAGCCCTCGGAGCATGTCTGTGGCCTCCTCTGGACTCACTCCAACCCCTCGATATCCTTCCTATGTTGGGGGCTCCTGATGAACCAATGGTCCCGTTCTCTGCTGTTCATTCGGGTGTTTCCTCCTTTCAGACTCAACCTGCGAGTCGTCATCTCGCTGACCCCCATGCTGCAAAGCCTCTCCGTGGGGATGAAGTTTGCCCTCTCTGGTGAGCTGTTTGCTGAAGTGCCTACCCCGTATAACCTCTCGCCGGACACAGACGAGGGGTATCTGCTCAGCAGGTCTGTGCCCACTGCTTTCCTGGCGCTTGACCCTCCTATAGACAATCGGATTTACGAGGTTAGTGTGGAGCACAAAGCCACCACGGAGAAGACCATCTGGCTACAGATACCAAAGAGATGCTGCTCAGAACTGAACTTCCAGCCAAACACCTCCCACAAAGTGGAGATCCAGTTCCAGATCGACCAGCTGCTGTTCCGGCAGTGGCATCAGGCTGTGGATCGCCTGTTGGATGAGAAGCTGGTCCTACCAGATGTTGCCAGTTGTTCTGTCCCCTACTCTCTCGGGTCACCACAGAAAGGGAATAGCAAGCAGAAACTCGCCATCTCCTTCATCACGGGCCAGACAACCAGCAGCCGGCAGGTCCCACCTCTCCTCATCTACGGGCCTTTCGGCACAGGGAAGACGTTCACCTTGGCCATGGCCACCTTGGAGATCCTCAAGCAGCCTAACGCGCGGGTGCTGATCTGCACTCACACGAACAGGTTAGCAGCGGGGAGGGAAGAAGCAACCAGGGTCGTGGACCGAGTCCGTGCACTGGCCCATCGCTCACCTGGTGGGATGAGCAGGAGCCAGGGTGTACGAGACAGAGCTGAGCTGCCCTTTTCCTAGTACGCGTTTCAATTGCTTGTTTAGATAAGTTCAATTTTATTTAGTGTGTCTTAAACTGCTTCTTTCCTGCTCAAAAGAAGCCTGGCATGGATGGAAGTCTTTGTGGAAGAGCCAGTGTATTCCTGCCTCGTTATAAAATGGGGATGGGGTTGGAGAGACCCTAGTGCTTTCCAGGCTGTACTGTATGCTGGAAGAAGTAGAAGGCTGTTGCCTGGCCTTCCTGGGATAATATTGTGCTACACTTGCCCTTGAAGACTATTGTGCTCTGTGCACCTGCCAATTTGTTTTACTTTTCCAGAGAGAGTCTGGGAAAGAGGAAATGCAGATCTGGTCTGACTGCCGTTGAGTCTGCCTTCAGAGAAACCAGGCCAAGATTGTTAAAATTAGAGCGGTTACTCTGAAAAGAGTGTCCACATCCGACCCTGCAGGCTGTCACTGCCTTAGTCTTCCATGTATAATAGATGGGTGACGGCTAATCTTAGCCTGTTCCAGGCTGTCTGGTTGTCCTGAGGCTTCCTCTGCCGATCCCGTGTCACCCGCCCGCGCTGGGGGGGTTAACTGTCGGAGGAGAGGTGCGCGGGGTCACGACTTCATGGCTTGGCCTTAGAGAGAAGCAGGGCCGCAGGTCTTGTTGGGCACGTTGCGTTTCTCTGTGTGAGCGTCGAGAGATGCCCTGGGCTTGAGTATCCGCTCCTGTTCTAAACCGTACTCTCACAATGGGCTTGGCATCGGTGGCTGCGTAAGCGCCGGCCTCTTTGCACGTACGTGGCTATCTCCCGTGACGAGCGCGTTGTCAGCCAAAGCTGCGGGAGATTTTGGGTGCGTGTTGGTGGACGATCAGGCGACGCATTGGGATCATGGTCACAGGGTTGGGAACAGCACTTACAATTCCTCGGTAATTTCCCCTTTTGTTCCCCTGCAGTGCTGCTGACATCTACATCCGGGAGTATTTCCATCACTACGTGATCAACGGGCACCCGTGGGCTGTTCCCTTGAGGATTATATCCGCTGACCGTCCCATCAACCTGACGGACCCCATCACTCAGATGTACTGCTGCCTCTCGCCAGACCAGCGCTCTTTCCGGCACCCCACGCAAGTGGAGATCGACAGGCACCACATCATCATTACCACCTCTATGTTATCCAAGAACCTGAAGGTTGCCCCGGGCTACTTCACCCACATCATGATCGACGAGGCTGCTCAGATGCTGGAGTGCGAAGCGTTGGTTCCGCTCTCCTACGCCACGTTTGAGACCCGGATTGTCCTTGCCGGGGACCACATGCAGATAACCCCGAAGTTGTTCTGCGTTGGGGATGGACAAGCTGCTGATCACACCCTGTTAAACCGACTCTTCCAGTTCTACCAGAAGGAGAGGCATGAAGTGGCCTTGAAGAGCAGGATCATCTTCAACGAGAATTATCGTTCCACTGCGGGCATAATTGAGTTTGTCTCCAAGCACTTCTACGTTGGCAAATGCAACGCTATCCAAGCCAGTGGGAACATCCCACCTCATCCCGATATCTACCCGCTCATGTTCTGCCACGTGTCCGGTGTGGCTGAAAGGGATATGTCCATGATTTCTTGGCACAACACCTCCGAGATAATACAAGTGATTGAGAAAGTGAAGGAGATCTATCAGAGGTGGCCGGACGAGTGGGGTCACCGAGACCTGAAGAGAATCTGTGTGGTCTCCCATGGGATGCAGGTATGGAGAACCACACATTCCCCACCGGAAGGGGCCATGCATGTGCTGCTGACCACTCTCTTGACCCTCACGAATTAATGCTGACCTCTATTTGTGATAAACCCACTCCCTGTGCTAGCAAAAATAGGGAATCTGGAGCTTTGGGTGCCACCAGTGGCTTTTCGAGGCGCTCTCCCTCGTCGTGGGTGGTCAGAGTGGAGATGCCTCATGGTGGGATGGTCTGGTTGAAGATTTCTTCCAGGCGGGTGACCTAAAGGCCAGACTGGGAGCGCTGGCTGTCGGCCCAGGGCGTGTGGCTGATGTCAAGGGGTACCTGCGGCTGAGGAGGGGGGAGGACCTTGGTGTTAGGTGAGGGCTGTTTCAGCTGTGCCTCTTTCTTTCTTACCAGGTTTCTGCAACAAGGCAAGAGCTGAGGAAGAAGCAGCTACAAGACGTGGTGGTAGAAAACTATGAAAACTTGCCAGGTTTGTGTCTTGTGCAATAGTTGGTCGTGGCCGGCTGCGTTTTGAGGTGGTCTGAGTGCTAGGGAGAACTTTTTGTGGTCATGTTGGTGGGCAGAGGGGGTTATCCCAGCTACAGCTGCTGTGTAACAGGCAGGGAGAAGAGACACTGGGTCAGAGGTGTTTCCAGCATCTTAACGTTGTCCTCCTTGCTAAAATGTGAAATAACGGGCTGATCTCCTGGCAAAACACCTCTCTGGGAGGGCGCGTGCGATGCTGTTAGGCAGAACCCCCCAGCCCTTCCCCATGGCCCTGCCACCGCCGCAGCCCACGTAGTGCTGATTAGGAGAGAGCGCCTGGAAATCCTTTGGCTGATTTCCATCCCCTTCTGGTTGGTAATTCTTTGATTTTTGTCCTTTCCTCAGTGAATAAGATTTCACACTGAATTAAATCTGCACCCAACTGTCAACTCGTTTCAAATATACTGGGACGTTGCTTTGTAGGAGGGTGAAAAACCCTGGGAGTGCGATCCCAGGGACTTGAGCATGTGTGAATCATGTGAAAGCCCCAAGTGCCAGTGGGGGAGGCTAGCAACGGGCGGGAACCGAAACCAGGACGGCCTGTGGGTACCAGTGGCAGCAAAAATCGCAGAACAGCTCACTAAAGGAGGAGTCTGCTGCTCAGGATGACGAGATAGGGCTGGCTTTGTCCTCAAGGACTTAGTTTATGACTCATCCATGGGTTTATTATTATTATTTTTTTCTATTGTGCAGCTGGGACTCCTTATGGTGAGAATAACTGACCCCTGGGGTGTGTTTCTGATCTCCACACCCTTTCCTTGCAGTCTCTTCTCAGCTCTGAAATCACCAGGGCGCCTCCGGGTGTTTATTTGTTGTGTGAGCAGCAGAGCTGTCCTTGCAGGGAGAGGGATACTCGTGAATGGTCACTGATTTCCTGCAAGACCCCTGGTTCCCCGAGGAATTTGGGATTCACGGGAAAACTCTACCCACGTTTGTGAGGAGTGGCTGGCAGGGGCATGCTGGGGGCATGCTGGTGACACTGAGCACGTGGGGCTGCACCATGGGCACTCGTGGCCACACTGGTCCAGTGCCCTGCCTTTCTCTCATCTCCACGCCGCCCTTCCCTTTCGGTGCCTGGGTGGTGGTGGCCTCGTGGTGTTCATCCTGGTTCTCCGTGCTTGGAGGCCCTCTCGATTCCCGAGGGTGGCTTTTTTTGCCTTAGGCGACCCCCGTGACTCAGCCAAGCGAGGTTACGTGAACCCCCAGCCACGCAACGCAGTGTAGATGGGCAGAGCGCCGGGCGGCAGCCAGACAGGGTCCTCCCCGTTGGGTTCCTGTGAGTGACTTCTCCCGTGTCCCCTCCGATGCAGGACGGGAATTCCGGGTCATCATCATCAGCACGGTCCACACCAGCGAGAGCCTGCGCATCTCGGCCGCCCACCACGAGTTCTTCAACGAAGCCAGGGTGCTCAACACCATCATGACGCGGGCTCAGTCACTGGTCGTTGCGGTGGGAGATGCCGTGGCCTTGTGCTCCCACGGCCAGTGCAGCAAGGTGTGGAAGCGCTTCATCCAGCAGTGCATGGAGAAGGGGAGCATCTTCCCGGAGAACCTGACGATGGCCCAGGTCAAACAGGCCGCGTGCGACAAGGAGAGCTGGAGCAGGAGGAGCCCGGAGCGGGACGAGGAGGACAGTGACACAGATTCCTGGAGCTCTGAGGCTGAGAGTGTGAATCCCGATGATCCCATCCTTCAGGAGCTCTTAGATGAGAGCAAGAACGTGCTGGTGACGGTGTCTGAAGAAGGGCTGCTGAACGTGAAGTCTGAGGCTTCAAACCTGAGCGAAGACAGGCAGGAATACTTCAGCTTCTCTCCTCAGATGATGCAGGAGTACCTGCACATGCACCCCAAAATGTATAAGCGGTGCGAGCTGATCAAAGAAGGGTTCGACCGAGCTTCTGCCTTCACCCTCAACGACTCCCCTGCGATGAGCATTCAGATCAAAGGCAGAGTGCACTGCGGGACGGCCTTCACCGGGGACGAGGTCCTCGTGGAACTCCTGCACAGCAGCGGGGCTGACAGCGGCACCCACCGCCCGCAGGGAAAGGTGGTGGGCATCTTGAAGCGCGCGGAGAGAGAACGGACCTTCATCTGCATGATGGACGAGTTTGATCCCCGGGTGATGATACCCATCGATCGCACTGTCACCAAAATATTCGTCCCGGGACTGAAAGAGAAACCCAACGTCATTCCCATCCGTCGGCTTGTCAATGGGAAGTACAGGGTGGTGAGCTGCGAGAAGATCAGCCTGGAGACGAGGAGATGCCAGTTCTTCTGCGTCCAGGTGATTTCCTGGCGGAAAGGGTTTTACTACCCTCTGGGGATAATAACAAAGATTCTGCAGGCGGCGTTGACTTTGGAAGAAGGCTTAAAGATCCTTGACTTGGAATATGGTTTGGAGAAGAAATACCCAGCCACTGTCACCAAGGAGTCAGCCAAATACACTTCCAGCAGCAAGCTAAACCTCACCAAGGAAAATCTGAAGGACTGTCGGAGCTACCTGACCTTCACCGTCGACCCGCAAGGCGCCAGGGATTTGGACGATGCTGTCAGCGTTAGGGATCTCGGGCGTCACTATGAGATTGGGATCCACATCGCAGACGTGGCTGGCATCATTCCCAAAGGCAGTGCCTTGGACCTGGAAGCAAAGAAGCGGGGTGTCACCTACTACGCTCCCAACCAGGAGCCTCTGTGCATGTTCCCACCCCACATTAGCCAGGATGTCTGCAGCCTCCTGCCGCAGAAAGATCGTCGGGTGATCTCCTTGTTTGTCACCATAGAAAAGGAGACGGATGAGATATTAAAGGGAGTTTTCAGCATCTCCGTGATCCGCTCGGACAGGCAGCTGTCCTACGAAGAGGCGGAGCTCTGCATTAAGGACCACTACAAGGGAGCGGCAGGGGCCCTGCGTTTCGATACCCTGGAGAACTGCATAGCTGTGGCTTATCACTTCTCCAGGGTCCATCGGAAGTTTCGGCTGCAGGAGGACTGTTTCTACGACCGGCTGGATGAGGAAAGCTCCCCAGGTAACAGGGGGTCCCACCAGATGATAGAGGAGTTAATGATCATGTTCAACAGTTGCATGGCCGAGTTCCTCACCAACCAGGACGACACCAGAAACGTCACTCCTCTCCGGTGTCAGTGCGAGCCAAGCCCTCAACAGTTATCCCTCATGAAAAATAAGTACAACCACATCCTTCCTTTGTCCATCCATCTCTCGCACCACCTGGGAGAGGCGTCTCCTGGCCAAGACTCCTCTACAAACGTGGAGTTCAGCCTCCTGGCCCCCATCTGGGAGCACCTGCAGGCAGCCGCTAACGTCCGTGACTTCCTCAAGATGCTAGACCTTATTGTTACGGATGACATCCACCCCAAGCTGGCTCCCGTGGCTCTGGAGTTCAGGAGACTGCTCAGCCGCTCCTATTTCAGCCGCTCCAACTCCACCATCCAGTCAAAAGCGGGCCATTACTCCCTGCACGTCGACTCGTACACCTGGGCTTCCTCTCCCATCCGCCGGTACGTGGATGTCGTGGTCCAGCGGCAACTTCATTCCGTACTCCGCAAGAAGCCTATCGCCTACTCTGCCGACGACATTGAGTTTCTCTGTAATGACTTCAACAGGAAGAATTCCCAGGCGACGACGTACGAGAAGAGAGCCCGCTCCCTGCAAATGGCCACCCAGCTGAAGTGCCAGGTCCTGCAGAAGGTCGCCTTCGTGGTGGACATCGAAGGGATGAACAAGTATTTTAAAGCCCTGTTTCCACTGAACAAAGAGAGTCTTCCCGATCCCCAGGTGATCAACTACAAGTCTCTTCAGCTGATAGAGCAGCCCATGTTCTTCCAGCAGCGGAACAGCATGAGGCTGATGTGGAAGAGGAGGGTGTACTCTGTGGAGACGATGAAGGAGCACAGCTTGCGGGAAGGTCCTCTCCGAGACCGCAGCGTCACCTTCGTTGGCACCCAGACTTGGCAGGACGTGCTCGCAGCCATCAGGAATGAGAAGTTTGAGACCGCCGCCTCCCTCCTTCAGAGCAGCAAGGACCTGTACCATCGGCACATGGGCTGGGTACGGAAGAGCCAGTGCTCGCACTATATGCAGCTCTCCTTGGAGCTGAGTGCCGGCGACGTGCTGCAGTTCCAGCTCACCACGGACGTCTGCCGGGGTTTCCTGGTGCCCTTCGTGCAGCTGTGGTGCGTGACGCCGGGATTCGACATCTGCCTGCAGCACACGGAAAAGCCGATCGATTGCTTCTCTGCCTACGCCACCCAGCCCTCCAAAGACAGGTACAAGCACGCAGCGGAGTACAACAGGATATGGATGCCGATGAGCGCCATGGAGTCCGCTTTGTGTGCGGTGGCTGAAAACGACTCCATTGTCCTTCATGATGTCAGAATAATCTGGGCCAAGCAAAGGACGAGCAAAGGACAACTGCAGGGGAGCTTTGTCCTAACCAAACAATTTTTGGAGGAGTGCTCCATTGACTTGGACTTCAGCCACTGTTACTTGTGCATCCGCTTAGGTGGGCTGAAGCTTGGGAGCCTTCAAAGCGATGAGGAATGCCTTAGCCACGGCCTCCAGAATCTGACTCTTAACAAGGGCCGCTCAGAAAGCAAACCTGTGGTTGACCCAGATACCTACACCTGGGTGGCTCACGGCGTCACTGAAGAGTTCAGTGACAATGACAAGCCTGACAGGGCGAGTCAGCACACTATGAACTTTTATATCCACTATATGTCCATGGAGAACATCCCGGTGGAACTCTCGCAGGCCTCTACCAGGTTCACGGTGGAGCTCATACCGAAGATGCTGCCAGATGTGTAAGTGTGTTTTACACAGAATCCCAGGAAGGTTTGGGTTGGGAAGGACCTCAAAGCCCCTCCAGTCCCACCCCCTGCCATGGGACACCGTCCACTAGCCCAGGTTGCTCCAAGCCTCATCCAGCCTGGCCTTGGACACTCCCAGGGATGGGGCATCCACAGCTTCTCTGGGCAACCTGTCCCAGTGCCTCCCCACCCTCTCCAGAAAGGATTCCTTCCTGATGT